GAGTAGCTCTGCACTTCCCTGTGGTTCCTAACCCGGCATCCGACAGCTTTTTCACGTAAAACAGTTAAAAATCACATTACTGGGGACACAGGATTCTGTTTTTTTCTGTTTCCCCACATGTGGAAATGTCTGGGAGAGCCATATTTGCTCCTGGAATTTTTACAAACAGCTTTTTCACCCAAAAAATATTCCAGAGTACCATGGAATGTCTGTCCGTCCAGCCACTCAGCACTTATTCAGCCCAGCTGCCATTCCAACTGAGTGGATTTCCCTGTCCCTAAACTTTGAAATAAAACTAATGTAATTTAAAAACAAACAAACAAAGAAACCCACCAAACCAAAAACCAAACCAAACCAAAAAACCACAAACAAACAAACAAAACAAAAACCCAGAATAAAGGCATTAAACCCAAGCAAATTTTCACCAAAACTCTCTGTGCCACGTCCTTTGGCGTTGCATCAGAGAAGCGTTTTTGTTTTTTTGAGGGGGGAGGCAAATCATCCAAGTGTCAGCTCTCCTCCCTCTTGTTTGGCCTCCTCTGAGCATCAGCAGCTCTGGTTTGGTGGTTTTCCAAACCCCTCTGGAGAAAGGATGCGCTCGGCAGTTGGAGACAAAAAGGGCTCATCGGGCATTTAACGGGAACAAACAAAACCAACTGGCTTTGGAACCAGCAGAACCCTCTGATCCATCAGTTCTTTTCCCAAATTAAGATGGTTCAGGCTCACAGTTTCCAGTAGGAGCATTTCGGGTCTGCAGCCAACAGGAGGAAAAAAAGAAAAGTTAAAACATGGTTTAAAAAGGATAAAAGACAGTGAGTTGGTGCTTTTCTTCACCTGGGCAACTTTTCAAGCTGTTTCAAGAGATGTCCCTGCAAAGTCACACGGGGGTGATGGCACCTTTGGGTGTCATCAGGGCAACATGGGGCTCAAAAGCAGCATCTCCCCAAAAGCAGCATCTCCCCCCTCCAGCTGTGCTCCCCCCACACACACTTGGATGATTCCCTTTGGACACACACCTCAGTTCTGCATCAACCCCCAAACAATGACCCCAGGCCCGGCTCCTGCACTGTCCCAAGCTCGAAAGATGCCTGAACAGGATGATTTTTGCATTAAATCCCCTGAGAATCCAGAGATGGACAAACTCCACCGCACAACCCGAGGACTGGAGGCAAAGGAAAAAGCAGGGATGGGAAAAGCAAGGAGCAAGCAAGGACGATGTCCCAGCACAGCTGGATCCTCTCAGCATCTCCCTCTCCTTCCTTATTTACGGCTGGAGCTGAATCCTCCTTGTTCATCTCCTTGGCAGAGGATCAGAACTCATCAATTCTCCATTCGCCGCCGAGCGTCCTGTTTCTTTCCATACATTTTTTTTTTAGTTATCTGACAATGAAACAATTTAAAGGAGGATTAAAGAAAAAACAAAAACAATACAGGGAGGCCAGAAACAGCTGTCAGTGTGCTTAGAAAATGAAATAAAATCTCCTTGGACATCCCATCCCACTGCCTTCGCCACCACACAGAGCCGGGAGCATCGAGCACAGGCTTTAAGGTGAAGGATTCAAGAGTTTATGGGATTGTCCAGCCCCCATCAGAGGTGTTAAACGAGGGATTCAGGGATAAGCCAAGGATTATGTAAAGCAGGTCTTTAAGGACAATGTGTTTTTCATTCAAAGGTTCAGGCATGTCTAATAAAAGGGGATCTACGTCAGAGCCAGGGGGCTCTGCCAGCAGGGCTGGGTCTGGGGAGAGCGGGGCTCCAAATGGGAAAATAACAGCCCTAAGCCTTGTAAAAACCAGGAGGTGGGGATGGACCCGGCCCCAAGACTCTCCACTGTTCACAGAAGGAGGAGGAGGAGGATGGTGGCTGCAGTGACCAGGAAGAAAAGGGAGAAGGGGTCGGTGCAGCCCCTCCACAGGGTGATCCTGAGCACCCCTTTCTCTGCCGGGAAAAGGGAATTATTTTGCAGATTGTTTTACCTGTTGGTGCATCCCAGCCCTGGGATCCCAGCCCAGTATCCTGACCCAATGTCCAGAAGATCCAGCAGGGCTTGGACCACCTCTGGCTGTCGTGGGACAGCCACTGAGATGTAACACCAAAATCCCCCCCCAAAAAACCCCTTCCCAGTGATCTCTCCAGACTCAGCTTCCCTAATTATTCCTAAGCTAAGCAGGCACACTTTCAACTTCTCCACCGAAAAGGCAATAGATTATTATTCCCTTTAATTAAAAAGTGTGTCAATTTTATAAGCAGTTAATTAATAATTCCACATTAACTTGACTGAGTGCTGGGAGAGCACTGTGCTCCTGGGGTCGGGCTCAACCTGCTGGGGTTATCCCCCCTAAACCAGGGGATAAAATCTCTGTCCTCAACAGGTTTCAGGGATAAAATCACAGCAAGTGCCACCCTGGTGTCACCCAGGTGCTTGTTCCCACCCTGCTCTGCACAAACTTATTGGCAGCACTTCTGCTTTCAGGCCATGACTGAGTATGAGCAACTCCAATTAATCAGTGGCTGCATAAATCATAATATGATAAATTATAGCTCATTAACAATAGCAGGAGGAGCACAGAGCATCACTCCTTCCCCTGGCCAGATCCAAGTGCTGAGGAACCATCTCCTCTTCCTCCTCTCCCCACCCACTCCCAAACCCTCAGCTGCAAAGGGGATTTTCATGCATCTCTCCTACAAAAAAGTGCAATTCCAGGATATGAAGTAGTCATTAATCACCCGGAAATTGTGCTTGTTACAGGAGAAACATCAACAAAATAATCATAAATTGTCTGCCAAGCCCCCGTTTGTGGGGGCACACGTTTGTAAGGGGATGGAGAGGCCTCTCATTTGGCTGCTTTAATTAGTGATTAACCCTTTGCCACACACTGCTGAGCTCTTTGGGTTGGAAGTCAGCTTAAAGAAGACAGAAGTTCTCTATCAACCTGCACCTCAGGAAGTCTTCCATCATCCCCACATCACCATTGGCCCATCAGAGCTCAAATCAGTCCAGCAGTTTAATTACCCAGGCAGCCTCATCTCCTCGGGTGGTAAGAGGACATGGATGTGCTCAGGATCCCACTAAACTGTGGGAGAAGTCTATTTTTAGTGCTGTAGAGCGGGGACAGAATTGATCCCCCAAACTGCAGATGCCAAAGTCTGGGAGGCGCAGGATGTGACCACTTCCCTTTGGAGCTCCCAGCCCTCCAGGGACACCCTCTGGTCCCACCAAGGGGTTCTCAACCCCCTGGAATGCTCTGGGCCGTGGGGACTAGTGGAGCTCCAGGGCTGGCATAGGGAGGGATGGTGTTAAGGAAGGAATCTGCTAATTCCACAGACTGTGCTGAGCAAACCCAGATTCACATACGGGCTGCTCCCAGCATCCAGAGAAGTCCAGTCTCACGTGAGGAATCATTTTTAAGCCCTGCTGTTTGTTCTGCTGTGACAGGTCGATGGGGAAGGCAGGAGGCTCCGCTTCCCTTCTCCCCCTCCAATCTCATCAGCTTTAATTGGAAGAATAAATGAGACCTTTCCTTCAAGATAATTATACAAAACATTGAATTAAATTACTCTCAGAGATTTTTTTCCTCTCCACTTGTGTCAGGCATCTGTTGTTTTAAATAATCATCTGATGAACATTTCCCTGCAGCTCTCCCTGCTTGTGGTGGGTGCATTCGTCCCAGATAGGGTGGCTGGAAATAAATCGGAGAAAAGGGGCTTTTCTCCCTAAAACACAGAATGGTTTGGCTTGGAAAGGCCTGAAAGCTCATCCACTTCCACCCCCTGCCACAGGCAAGGACACCTTCCACTAACCCAGGTTGCTCCAACCTGGCCTTGATTGCTCCAGCTTCCAGGGATGGGATGTTGATGAAGTGCTGGGAGAGCTGCAGTTGAGCAGAGCCCACACGAGGTTCCTGAGGTCGGGCTTAACTCCTGGGGTCGGGCTTAACCTGCTGGGCTCAACTGCTCCTCCTAAACCAAGGGATAAAAATCTCTGCCGTCAACAGGTTTTTAGGGATAAAAATCACAGCAAATCACAGCGAGTGTCACTGTGGTGCCGCTCAGGCGAGAGAGCTCAAAACAACAATCTTAGAGGTCTTTTCCAAGCTAAATAATTCCAGGGTCCTGCGATCACACGGATGTAGCAGGATGCTCCTGTGCCCACCCGCCGAGGCTTCTGGGCTGGCACAAGGAGCTTGGCTGCGCTGACATTGGCACAGTTGACGATTTTAGGAGGAGCGTTGGGACAACCAGCTGGGAAACATCATCATCGTGGCCGGGCTGCGCGAACGGAGATTTGGGAAGGCTCTACCCACGTTTGTTACAAGTGCGTTGGTGGCTGAAAAGGCCAATACGAGAGAGACATGTCCGATTGCAAAAGGCACAGCAGAAAGACTCCTTAGGTGGTGTATTCAGCAAGACACGATCCTTTCTGCGTTGTCCTTTCTCCTCAAGGGTGATCCTGCTGCGTTCTCAAAGGTATCAGCAGCGTTATGGATGGTGTGTCTCCAGGCCTCCCGATTGGAGGCCAGAGTAGACCAGTTCTGGTGATCAATGTGGCCAAGGCTGAGATGTTGTTTCAGGGAGTTCTTGTATCTCCTCTTTGGGGCTCCTCTCTTGCAGCAGCCGGTGGCAAGTTCACCCTAAAGCAAGATCTTAGGGAGGCAGTGGTTGGTCCTTCATCCTGGAGACGTGCCCTGCCCAGCACAGCTGTGTTCTCAGCAACATGGCCTCAATACCTGTGACTGCTGCTTGTTCTAGAACAGATGTGTTGGTCACATCATCTGACCAGTGGATGTTTAGGATTGTTCTGAGACTGCGTTGATGGAAGCGTTCTAAGCCGGGAAACAACCAACCAGCCGGGACGACCTCGCTGAGCCCCCACCCACTCATCGCAGGGGTGGCCGGGCCGCCTTAAGGCGGGAGTGGGCGGGGCCGACCCGGGGGGGCGGGACTGCCCTGGCGGTGTCACCGGGGAGAGCCGAGCGGGGCCGAGCGGGGCCGAGCGGAGCCGAGCGGGGCCGAGCGGGGCCGAGCGGAGCCGAATGCAGCGGGCGGCAGCGCGGGTGCTGCGGGGGGCGCGGAGCCCCCCAGTTCGGACCCCCCCAGTTCGGGCTCGATCGGCCTCGGCGGGGTCCGCCCCCCGCGGGCTGGTCTATGAGCGGCACGGGGAGCCCCCGAGCGTGGTGCAGTAAGAGGGGGCACATTGGGGGTGCAGGAGGAGCTGTATTGGGGTGCAGGAATAGGGGGGACAGCGGGGGTGTAGGGGCTGTATTGGGGTGCAGGAATAGGGGGGACAGCGGGGGTGTAGGGGCTGTATTGGGGTGCAGGAATAGGGGGGACAGCGGGGGTGTATTGGGGTGCATTGCAGGGGGGTGCAGGAATAGGGTGGGGGGTATTGAAGTGCAGAGGGGGCTGTACTGGAGTGCACTGTAATGGGGTGCGGGAATGGGGTGGGGGTGCAGGGGGGTTGTACTGGGGTGGATTGTAGTGCGGTGCAGGAGCGGGGGGACAGTGGGGGTGCAGGGGGAGCTGTATTGGGGTGGATCGTGATGAGGTACAGGAATGGGGGCGTCACTGGAGGTGCAGGGAGGGCCCTGTTGGGGTGCATTGCAGGGTGGGTGCAGGAGTGGGGTGGGGGTGAATTTGGGGGCCATTGTATTGAGGGGGGGGCGGGGGTAGGGCCAAGGCTGGGGTGGGGGCTGGCAGAGGGGTGCGGGGTGGGGTGGGGTTGCAGGTGAGGTCTGGGGTTGTTGGAGGGCTGCTTTGGGGGTGCAGTGCACAGGGTTGGGGGTCACTCACCCCAGGGGAGGGGTTGCAGCTCCCTGTGGAACCCCCATGGCAGTGCCAAGGGTGCCCAGAGGCTCCTGAGCACACGGGGGGACCCTGGGGTGCCCCCATGGTCTCACAGGCAGATGCTGAGGGGGTCCCCTTGTCCCCCACCGACCTGCTGCTGCTCCTTCCCCATTCCTGCCTAATTTGGGGTATGATGGGGAGGTCCGAGCCCTCAGTAGTGCTGCACCCCAAATTCATCCTGGGTTGCATCCCATCCATGGGGATTCTCTTTGAGGTCCCAGTTTAGGGACCAAGCTGGTCATGAGTGTTTTTTGGGTTCAGCAGCTGGTGCTTGGTGTTATCATGAGCCAAAGAACCTTGGAAGGAGAAAGTCACATTTTGGTGGATTTTAGGCCTTTTTCTCAGAGGGGGAGACCTCGAGGCCTTGCTGCCCTGCTTGCACCAGCTCAGGTCACCCCTAGAAATGCCAGTGCATTATCTGGGTACATCCAGACACCCAACCCCCTGATTTTTTGGGGAAGGACTTTTGCTTTTCCAAAATTGTGTAACAGTGCTTTTCACCACTGATATTTGCTGCCATCACCCCATTTCTTCTGCAAGGCCAGTCTCGTGCTTCCTGACTTCTCCTTTTTTCACAGATTTCTGAAAACATCCCAGTTCCTGTAAGGCTCAAACTGGGCAGGACAAGCCATAAAATCCCCCGTTGGTTGAAACTGTGGGTTTTTACACAATCTACTGAATTTGTTAAAATTAGTGAGCGTCACTTGGCCTGGTGACACAGGGTTGTGTTGGGTGGTTGGCTTTTAGTAGCCTCCACCAAAAACCTGTCCGTTTGTCTGATATAAATCCAGTTTTTTAATGGGATGGGGAAGGCAGTGCTGCTAATTTAAGTGTGTGGAGGTGATATAATCACCTTCCACCTTCAACCCCAGCACAAAACACATCACCAGGCTGGTCTTAATGCCCTTTTCCTTTGTGTCCCCCTGTTCAGACTGAAGGATCTGGAGGTGCCCAACCTGGGAGACTCTGATGTCCACGTCAAGATGTTGGCGGCTCCCATCAATCCCGCTGACATCAACATGATCCAAGGTGTGTGTTGGATCAATACTTTGCATATTGAGTCTTGTGGGGTGCTCAGAATCACAGAATATTCTGAGCTGGAAGGGACCCACAAAGACCAGCAAAGTGCAGCTCCTGTCTTGGAAGGTTTGGAGATGGCCCTTGGGATGGGAATGTCTGGGGTATCAAAGTCCAACTCCAATGTCTTGGAGGGTTTGGAAATGGCCCCTGGGATGGGAATGTCTTGTCCAGGTCTTGTTTGGAAATGGCCCTGGGATGGGAATGTCACTGGATGTCTTGGAGGGTTTGGAAATGGCTCCTGGCATGGGGATATCTCCTGTCTTGGAGGGTTTGGAAATGGCCCCTGGGATGGGAATGTTTGGGGTGTCAAACACTGGATGTCTTGGAGGGTTTGGAAATGGCTCCTGGCATGGGGATGTCTCGGGTATCCAAGTCCAGCTCCTGTCTTGGAGGGTTTGGAAATGGCCCCTGGGATGGGAATGTTGGGGTATCAAAATCCAACTCCAGTGTCTTGGAGGGTTTGGAAATGGCCCCTGGGGTGGGAATGCTGGGGTATCAAAGTCCAACTCCAATGTCTTGGAGGGTTTGGAAATGGCCCCTGGGATGGGAATGTTTGGGGTGTCAAACACTGGATGTCTTGGAGGGTTTGGAAATGGCCCCTGGGATGGGAATGTTTGGGGTGTCAAACGCTGGATGTCTTGGAGGGTTTGGAAATGACCCCTGGGATGGGAATGTTTGGGGTGCCAAAGTCCAGCTCTGATGTCTCAGAGGTTTTGGAGGTGGCTCATGGCATGGGAATATCGAGTGTGATGGGGTCTCCAGCTCACCTCCTGCTTCCCAACAGGGACCTACGCCATCCTGTCCCCTCTGCCGGCCGTGGGAGGGAACGAAGGTGTCGGGGAGGTGCTGGAGGTCGGGAGTCGGGTGTCGGCTCTGAAACCCGGGGACTGGGTCATCCCGGCGGACACCGGCCTTGGTGAGCGTGCCCCCGACTCCTCACTCATCCCTCACCTGCAGAGCGTCTTCTCCAAGGATTTTTGGCATGCTGGAGCCTGCTGGGAGCTGCCCAAGCTTTCCCAGAGAGCAAAGCCACGGTCGTGCTGCTGTGTGAGCTGGTGGGGGGATTTTGGGGGTCCTGCAGCAAAATCACAGCCCTCCAAAGCACTGTCTTTGCTGGGGGGGAGTAGAGCCCCGTGTCCCTCCACTTACAGCCATCACATCTAATGAGGCAGGACTCAAAAAGGGGAAAAAAAGCCCTTTTAGGGACTCTTGGGTGAGGGGAGCAGCAGTTGGAACCCATTTAGTGCCGTATGAGCTAAATCATAATTATATTGAGCTGGATTGTTTCAGACAGTCAGATAACTGCTGGAGTTGTCTCTTACCTGTTTATATCTTGATTTAAATTATATTTTCGCCACCTATTTTATTTTAATGTGGTTTTTTTTATAAAACAAGCTCCGTTCCTGCTCCACAGCCCCAGCAAGTGATGCTGCTCATCCTCCAGGGCAGCTCCAGGGAAGGGGCTGCTATTCACAGGAACCCCTTACAATGCAAAAGCCTGGAGCACCTGGAATAGGAGCAGTGGCAATGCCATTGCTTATACTAAATTTAAATTTAGAAATAATCTTCTTTTCTGTAGCATAGACCCTTTATGAGGCTTCTGTGCCATTATAAAGCATTGCAGCAATCCGTGTTTTCCTGGAAACAGCCACGTTTTGTCCCATCCACTGAGAGCTTCCCCAAAGGCCTGGGATAAAACATCTCACCTGGGCAAGGTTGTGGGGACACCTCACTGCAGTTTGCTCCTTAATAGTGCTCTGCTGGGAAAGTGTGGGAATTCATTTCCCAACAAATGCCTCCCATGCTCCTCCAAAATGCCAATGGCCTGAAATGTGTTGTTTCTGGTTTAGTGTAACAGCTTGTTCTTTGCCTATTTCTTCTTAAAAGGCTTTTTTTGCTTAATGGAAGAAGGAAAGAGATCGAGTTAAGAGCCAAATGGGATATTTTTAAACATAAAAAACCTGTAAATAGATGATAGAGGGTTAAATTGGATTTAAGTGTAGAGGGAGTAAAGCTGCCTAAATTGGCTTTGAATATATGGGCTCATTCCTAGGATGGAGAGTATTTCCATTATCTCTGCACACTCCTTGTGCCTGGGGAGCCCCAGTCCCATTATCCCCCTGGGAAATGAATAGGCTTTGCTGGGTGATAAATCTGGGGATCCATCCACTGTTTTGGCTGTACCCATGTGGGAAATTATTCCCTAATTCCCTCTCCAGGGTTTAGCAGGTGCCCGGCGTGGCGATGCTGCCGCGACTGGCATTAAGCCAACGGTGTGAATTAAGGTCTCATGACCTTTCCTTTTCCTTTTCCTTTCCTTTCCCACCTTCCTGTGGCTCTGCTGCTGGAACCCAGGGACGTGGAGGACACGAGGGGTGTTCCCTGAGGAGAAGCTGCTGAAGGTGCCCGGTGACATCCCCGTGCTCTGCGCGGCCACTCTGAGCGTCAACCCCTGCACAGCGCTACGGATGTTGACTGACTTTGAGACCCTGGCACCTGGTAAGCCTTCTGCCAAGCAGAAGGAATTCTGGGGGGATTTTCCAGCCTCTTCTGCGATGAAAATTGGGATTTGTTCCCATCCAGGTGACTCCGTCATCCAGAACGCTGCCAACAGCGGGGTGGGCCAGGCCGTCATCCAGATCGCCAGAGCCTCCGGCGTCAAGACCATCAACGTGGTGAGGGACAGGTGGGTCCCCTGGGCAGGAAAAGTTGGGCTGGGTGGTGGTTTGGGCACAGGCTTGGGGACAGAAACCAGCGCTGGAGGGTCCTGCTCCAGAGTCCTTTGAACTTCTGGAGAGGGAAGATGAGCGGAGAAAGTTAACCCTCGGCTGGAGGTTTTCGGAGCTGGAGTTGGTCATCCTGCCCCTTCCACCCATCCCACCCATCCTGCCCATCTCCTCTTTGCTCCTCCAAGGTGTCCTCCAGCCTCTGCCCCGTTGTCCCCAAGTGACAGAGGAATGAGCAGGAGGAAGGAGAAGGTGACACTCTGCCTCCTGGTTCATCAGGTCCTCTTTTTTTCCCTTCCTTTTTCCCTCCCCCAGACCTGATCTCCCACAGCTGGTGGAGAGGCTGATGGCCCTGGGTGCAGACCACGTTGTCACAGAGGAGATGCTGAGAAAGCCAGAGATGAAAGAGATATTTAAGGTACCTCAATGCTGATCCCAATGGAGAGAGATGGTCCAGGGCCATCACTGCGTTCAGCACTGCAGGGAAAGCTGCAGGGATGGTGGGAAGGACAAATTTCCCTCTAGATCAGGATTTAGCCCCAGAAGTTGAGGAATTTTGCTGCTTCCACAAGGGCAGGATCATAGATTTTAGGTCTGATTGGACAGGGCTTGGAGCAACCAAGTGGAAGGTGTCCCTGCCCATGGCAGGGGGATTGAACTGGAGGGGCTTTAGAGTCCCTTCAGACCCAAACCATTCCTTGATTCTGTGATAGGTTTTGACTCCACAGCTCTCAACTGCCCCTAAGTAACTGTTGAGGTTAGGGCAGTTGCTCCCTCAAGAACCATGGTCCCACCCTAAAAAAGGAGCCCTAAAATTTGGGATCTTTTTTCCTAACCTCTTGCAGAGCACCCCCAAGCCCCGGCTCGCCCTGAACTGCGTCGGAGGCAAAAGCACCACGGAGATGCTGCGGCACCTGCAGTAAGTTTGGCTCGGGGACAGAAACCTGCACCAGAGGGTCCTGCTCCAGAGTCTGTGGAACTTTCATAGAGGGAAGATGAGTGGAAAAGTGGTTTTGCATGACAACAGTGATGTAAAGTTAACCCCTCATTGCTGCGTGTCTCACGCTGCCGGTAGCTGGGAGCAGCTGAGGTCCAGTTATGAAGGTCCCCCACGTCCTGGCTGGGTACAACTGGTGCACTGAGCTTCAAATTCAGCTGTTGGTGCATGGAAGCAAGAGGAGAGCCTGGAAAGCGGGGTCTGAGGGGTAACTGGGGGAGCCCTTGGTGCGAGGACAGCCCTGGGGTGCAGCAGTGGGGTTGGGGCTGGCAGAGGGGGAGGTGGGAACGGCAGAGCTGCGCTTTGGGGGCCACATAACCCAGTCTGTTCCTGCTGCAGGCCCAAAGGGACCATGGTCACCTACGGGGGGATGGCAAAGCAGCCTGTTATGGTGCCTGTGGTGAGTACTGGAGATGCTCTTCATTTCCCTGGGGGCACATCCAGTGTGATGTCCCCTCGGCTCCTGCTCGACACTGTGGGAGCTCAGCTCACCCTGATCGAGACTGAGAGCCTCCAGCCTTCTTTTTATTTAACTGATGGGCTCCTGAAAGGCCAAACTGCCTTTAATCCCACTGCTGGTCTCATGGCTTTATTCAGGGTGTGTTTGGGCTGCTGTGAATTCCCAGTGGGGAAACGGCCCCACGGATGCCGAGGATCAAACCCACCCTGACCCCACACTGGAGTCCCATCTCCACATCCCACTGTGTCCTGAGTCACAAATGGGAGCACTAACGAGGGGGTGAGGGGCCTCACTGCCACCTCCCACTGCTGTCAGGATGGGAGGCAGCACAGGGGTGTCGCTGGGTGTGGGGGGGACACACGGGTGTCACTGCATGTGTGGGAGGACACAGGGTGCACAAGGGGCAGGTGGGTCTCCCTGGGTGTGTGAGGGGACACAGGGCTGTCCCTGGGTGTGTGTGGGGACCCCCAGGTGTCCCTGGGTGTGTGAGAGGACCCAGGGGTGTCACTGGGTGCACGTTCCCTCTCCACAGAGTGCCTTCATCTTCCGGGACGTGCGGCTCCGCGGGTTCTGGATGACCCAGTGGCGGAAGGACCACGCGCAGGGTGAGCCGGGGTGGGGGGCTGAGGGTGGGCACGGGAGCGGCTCCCAAACCACCCCACTGGCACCGTGTTCCTCACTCTCACTCGTGTCACGAGTGCTGCTCATCCCCAGGGCACTGAAACACCTGGCTCGGGCAGGGACTGTGCCCTGTCACCACCCCAGGGCCTCTTCCCTCATCCCACGTGCCCGAGCTGGGGGCACATCACACCCAGGCCCCTGTATGGCTTTGAGTGGGTGTTTCCCAGGATGGTGCTGGCACAGCACAGTGACAGCTCCCTCCTTCCCTCCCCGTGCAGACCAGGAGAGCGTGGCTGGGATGATGGACACCCTGTGCCAGCTGATCCAGAGGGGACAGCTCACCGCGCCCGCCAGCACCGAGGTCCCGCTCCAGGACTACAGGGCAGCCCTGGAGGCCTCCATGAAGCCCTTTGTGTCCTCCAAGCAGATCCTCCTCCTCTGACCCGCAGCTCCTGGAGCCCTGTCGTGCTCCAGCACAGCCCCGCTTCTTGTCCACAGACTTGGGGGGGGAAAATCCTCCAGATCCATGGATTTTCTTTTTTCCTTTGCTTTTTAACTTGTGGGTGGCCACTGAAAGCTCTCAAAGCCTCTGCAGCTTTGTGTGGAAGTGCTGCTGGAGGGAGGCTGCATCTCACCTTAGCTGGGGTGAGTTTGGGAGCCCAAACAGTGGCTCAATCAGCTCAGGGTGTCAAAAGAGCAGCAGTTCCCCCTTCTGTATATTTTTGGAGCTGAGGGAGCTGCACTGCTGCCTCCTGCACTGCTGTAGTTATCCCAGGTGGGATGGGCAGGAAAAGCCCAAGTTGCTTCCTTGCAGCCCCCCTGCCCCCAAGCTGGGGAAGGGGCACAGACTCCCCAAAGCACTGAGGTGTTGCTGTGGTTGGAGTGACCCTGGTGCTGCTGCAGCTCCTGGAGGAGCCCTGAGATCTGCTGGATTTTGTCAAGGGCACTGTGAGTGCTGGAGCCTTTGGCCCATCCCAGCTGGAGCCAGACCCTTGGCATCCCTGAAGGCCCCCCTGCCCGGGTGTGGGACAGTGACTGTGACACTGCAGAGGATGGACACAGCAAAATGAAACAATTTATTACCGAAAACAACCAACAACGTGTTCCTGCTTCCTCCTGTCCTGCTGCATTTCTACCCCTATGGCCCCACAGCTCCCTACGGCCTCTGCTCTTCCCAGTCCTGCCCCTGCTGAGGTCTGGCCCCACTGTTCCCCCCGCAGGAGCAGGTGGGGCAGTGGCTGTGGGCTGGAGTGTGGCTGGGTGGTGACCCCACACTGTCCATCCCAAACCCCAGAGCGCAGAGCGGAGCCAGTCCAGCCCCAGGCACCCGCGTGAAACCTGGATTTGGCTGCCCAGACGGGAGTGTGGGCACTGCCAGGGGCCTGTTTGGGGCAGGAGGGGTGAGCCGGGGCGGTGAAGCCGTGGCTGGAGCAGGAGCTGCCTCCTGGATGCCGGCGGGGCTGCGCCTGCGGGGCCGTTTTGGTGGGGAGGGTCTGGCACTGCCCAGCGGGGTGGGGGTGCCTGCCCCTGGCTCAGGGCTGGTGCTCGTGGGTGTCTGGGTGTCATCATCCTCTTCTTCCTCCTCTGCCCCTGCTGCCAGCTGAACATCCCACCATCTTTTCCATGGGAGCTCTGCCTTCTTGCCGGTGGCCGGCGGGGACACGGCTGGGGGGATCAGGCTTTCCCCAGCACTCTCCACGCCCCTCCGATGGCAGGAGGGGTCATCCCTTGTGAAATGGGGGTTGGAGTAGAACAGGAGCTGCAAAAGGCAAAGGAGAGGAGTTGGTTGCCATCATTGCAAGGAGGGAGGAAGAGATCCGAGGGAGATCCCAAGGACAAAAGGGTGTTTAGAGGATTCCCTGGGGCATTTTAAACATCAGGTTTCATCTGAGTAAAGTGTTGGGACAGAGTTTTGTTAGGTCACAACCACCCTTGTGTTTTGGGCATTTGGCAGCAGAGAAGTGTAGGGTCTTCAAAGGCCAAAAAACCCCTGGAGAAACCCAAACCCCACAAGTTTTCAGGCGCCGCAGCGTGGAATGGACATGTTGGGAATAACACTGATGTGGAGACAAAACTGTTTGTTCCCATCCCCACTTCTGGCCTTGTCAAGGCTGATTTTATCCGAACATGAACCTCCCCCAAAATGTCCTGAGGGATCTTTGTGTGGGGAGGAGCTGACCTACCTTGCCCAGCTCAGACCCAGCTGCTGCTACTGCTCTCAGCTCCTCCATGGAGGTCAGCAGGGGAGAGTCCCCTTCCATCCTGCGGAATCCATGGAACATGAGTTGGAGAAGGAAGCCTCTCATGGACTCTGTCTCAAAGATCTTCCTCGGCCCCCTCCTCCCCAGCACTTCCTTCCTGAAGAGCTTCTCTCCGATCACGATGCAGTTCCCGTCGTTGCCCCACCAGATGGACTCGAAGCTCTGGCTGCTGAGGATCTCCCAGAGCGTCTCCAGGAAGGAGTCATCCGAAGGTTTGGTGTTGACAGAGATCTTCAAGGAACAAAATTTCACCTTGGGGTCCCAGGGTTCATCTTGCCAATCCTGAAGGGCGACTTTGTCTGTGGGAGCATCCCAGGACAGTCCCGTGTCATCTCCTGGATGAGAAGCTTGAGCCACCCACCAGGCTGGCTCCTCTGGGCTGGGAGCACAGGATGTCTCTGGTGAAGACATCTCCATTTTAACTTCTTTTTCCTCAGCTTGGCTGCCTCCAACCAGCCTGATGAAGTTCTGTGGTTCCAGCTGCCTGGGAAGTTCTCCAGCCTGTGTTCCATCACGGTGACATCACAGTGTGGTGCCCCTCTCCTGGCAGCAGGAGGTGGGAGACACAGAAGTAGCCCCAAAGACCTGATTTCCCAGGGAGCTGGTTGGAGCCCAGAGACAATTCCAGCTGTGTTTTCATGTGGAATGTCCTGCTAGGGCAGTGCTGTGTCCCTGTGCCCCAAGGAGCAGTGCCCAGGGAGGGGTGGGAAGGTGACAGTGTTGGACATCCAAGTGTCCCAGACATGAAGTTTTTCACTTGGGCACCTTCTCCCCTGTGCAGAAATGCCTGTGTGGAATTCCTATGGAATAACCTCTGCTCTGTGATGTCCACACTGCTCCTTCTGCTGTGGTTTGTCCCCATATCCAGGCGATGCTCTCAGCTCTCAGCAGGCTCTCTGTGCTGCTCTGTAGGATGAACCCAAACACACCTTGCAATGGAAATAACCCCCACCCCTCCCTTGGTTGGGTTCCTTGGATTTTCTTTGCCACAGAACCTTCAGAGCCCAGCCCAGGGACCTCACTGGGGTCCTCCCACCTTGTGTCGAGTTCCCAACCTGCTCCTCCGAGTCAGAGGACCACGACTGTGGAATTGTTTGGGGATGTGAAATTGTGAGGGACCTCTTGTGTCAGCTGCAGGTTCTGAGTCTGTGGGGCCTGATGGGACTCATCCCAAAGTCCTGATGAGGGGGGTTATGGCAGGGCCCCCCCTCCATCATCTGCCAAAGTCCTGGGGGTGTGGGGAGGTCCCTCCTGACTGGGAGCTGGGCACTGTCATTCCCATGTACAGGGAGAGGTGAGGGAAGACCCAGGAAGTTGTACCTTCATTTTGGGGAATTTTTTGGGTCCTGGGGGCAGGGATGTTGATCAGAGTTGGAGGGGACTCCTGTACAACTGTGTGTGCATTGGGAGGAGCAAATCACTCTGAAGTTAAACCCCACAGCTGTGTTGGACCTAAATGGACACATCAAAAAACATTTTATCCTCCCTATAACCCCTCACACCCAAGACCTCCCTTAGAGCAGAGCAGACAGAGCAGCCCACCAGGTGTTCCCTGTGATAAACTCCATGCCAGCACCTCCCCTCTGCTCCCCCATTCCCAACAACCCCCCCAATATTCCCAATAAACCCCCCCAATATTTTGCATTTCCATTCTCCCCACCAGTATTGGAGGCAGAGGCACATCCCATGCCCCAGCACTTCCTGATCAATGGATAAAATGGGGAAAATAAAGCACAAAAAGGACTTTGAAATTGTTATGAGGTCCATTAAACATGACATAAACCAGAAAAATTAATGCAAGGTTTTTATCCCCCTTGTTTATTGGGCTCTGTGATAAAACCCTACGAGCTTTAGAGAACTCTCTCACAAAATGTTCCCACCGCTCCCTCCCACACCAGGGCACGAAGGAATCAATAATTAGATTTAATTCTGCTTGTTAAATGGGCGGGATCGTGGTTGGAAATCCAGCTGCTGGTGTTGCACCTACACAGTATTAATGTTTTTGGGGGTGATTGTGGGGTTATTTTAGGGGGGTGGCTGCTAATGCTGGAATGTTCCCAGAGACTCTGCTGGGATCTGGTGTGATTTCGGCATCTGATGTGTCAACCCAAATGATAAAAATAAGTCCCCAGAAATGACATTTAGGGATCAGCAAGAGGGATGTTGTTGCTCATCAGAGGGAGTGAGGAACAGCCAAGTCTGGCCACAGGTGGGGGACACCTTGGGGGGACCCCTGAGCACCCTGAGTGTGGGGATGGGTGACGAGGTGGCGTTGGGTCACAGGTTGGACTGGATGATCTTGGAGGTCTTTTCCAACCCGGTTGTTCCTGTGATTCTGTGACTCTCTGTCTGTGGTTCTGTGACTGTCCCTGTGTCCGTGACTGTATCTCTGTGTCTGTGTCTCTCTGTCTCTGTGTCTGTCTCTGTTTCCCTGTGTCTGCGTGTCTGTCCCTGTGTCTCTGTCTCTCTGTCCCTGTGTCCCCGTGTCCCTGTATCTGTCCCTGTGTCTTTGTCTCTCTGTCCCTGTATCTGTCCTGTCTGTCCCTGTGTCTCTGTCTCTCTGTCCCTGTGTCTGTCCGTCTGTGTCTGTCCCTGTGTCTGTCCGTCTGTGTCTCTGTCTCTCTGTCCCTGTGTCCCTGTCCCTGTGTCTGTCTCCGTGTCTCTGTCTCTGTCTCTCTGTCCCTGTGTCCCTGTGTCCCTGTGTCCCTGTGTCTGTCCCTGTGTCTGTCCCCGTGTCTCTGTCTCTGTCCCCGTCTCTGTCTCTCTGTCCCTGTGTCCCTGTCCCTGTGTCTCTGTGTCTGTCCCCGTGTCTCTGTCTCTCTGTCCCTGTCCCTGTCTCTCTGTCCCTGTGTCTGTCCCCGTGTCTCTGTCTCTCTGTCTCTCTGTCCCTGTGTCTGTCCCTGTGTCTGTCCCTGTGTCTGTCCCCGTGTCTCTGTCTCTCTGTCCCTGTGTCCCTGTCCCCGTGTCTCTGTCCCTGTGTCCCCGTGTCTCTGTCTCTCTGTCTCTGTGTCTGTCCCCGTGTCTGTCCCCGTGTCTCTCCGACTCCGCGGTGCCGTGTGCCGGGTGGGCCCCACCGCGCGGCGTGGCCGCTTTAAGCCGCGCGCGGTGCCGGGGCGGGGCGCGCGCGGCGGTGACGTCAGGCGGCCGCCCGGCCCCGGGCCCCTCACGCCGCCCGGGCCCAGCCCCGGCCCCGCGCCCGCGATGCCGCGGGTCTACATCGGCCGCCTCAGCTACCAGGCGCGGGAGCGGGACGTGGAGCGCTTCTTCAAGGGCTACGGCAAGATCCTCGAGGTGGACCTCAAGAACGGGTGAGCGCGGGCGCCCGGCCCGGCCGCGAGGGGTGTGAGGGGGGCACGGGCCGCTGAGTGTCGGGGTGATGGTGTGTGGGGGGCAGGGGGTGGGGGGGTTACGGCGGGTGGGCTCGCCCGTTTTGAGGGGGGCGTGAGGCCTGGGGTCCTTCTGGGGGGTGGCAGAGCGGCTGGGCCTGCGTTTGGGGAGGGGGCAGGACGGGTGGGCTCCCTCGTTGTGGGGGGGCAGGACCCTGGGTTCCCCCTGCGAGAGGGGGCAGGACGCCCGGGTCTTTACTGGGGAGTGGGACAGGACAGCTGGTTTACTCCTTCTGGGGGGGGCGTGAGGCCTGGGCCTCTTTTGGGGAGGAAAGGCCCCCAGGATCTTTTCTGGGGAAGGGGATAGGACGCCCGTGTTTCCATGGCAACTGGGAGGCAGGAGGCCTGGGTTCCACCCCGTACCCGGGCCTTTCCTGGCCGAACGGGACTCTTGGGCAGGTCCCTTTTGGGGGGTGGAGGCGGGAGGGCTGGGCCTGTGTTTGAGGAGGGGGCAGGACCCCTGGGTTCCTCTTTTGAAGAGGGGCAGGACGGACGGGTTGTCCCTTTTGCGAGGGGGCTGTTTTGGGGCGGGACAGGATGCTTAGGTTTCCCATATGGGGGAGGGACGGGACGCCTCTGTTTCGATGGCAGCTAGGAGGCAGGAGGCCTGGGTTGTCCTTTGGGGAGGGGGGACACGATGCCTGGGCCTTTATTACAGGGAGCAGGACTCTTGGGCTTCCTGTTTTATGGGGGGCAAGACACCTGGGCCTCTGTTGGAGGGCTCCCCCTTTCTGGGGCCCAGGACGGCTGAGCCTCTGTGGGGACTGGAGGAAGGTGCCTGAGCTCCCCTTTGGGTGGGGGTGAGGGGGTCAGGACCCCTGGGTTCCCCCATTTTGGAGGGGGCAGGACCTCTGTGTTCCCCGTTTTTTGGAGGGAGTAGGACCTCTGGGTTCCCCCATTTTGGAGGGGGCAGGACGTCTGTGTTCCCTGTTTTTTGTGGGGCAGGACCCCTGGATTCCCCCTTTTGGGAAGGGGCAGGACTCCTGGGTTCCCTCTTTTTTGGGGGACAGGACTCCTGGGTTCCCTCTTTTATGGGGGGCAGGACTCCTGGGTTCCTTCTTTTTTGAGGGGACAGGACTCCTGGGTTCCCCTTTTTTGTGGGGACAGGACCCCTGGGTTTCTGTGACAACTGGGGTGCAGGATATCTGGGTTCCCACCTCAGTTACTGGGGGAGGGGGCAGGTCATCTGTGTCCTGTCCCCTTCTGTAGAGAGGGGGTGTCACCCCAGGGGTCCCCCCCAGGCCTCTCCGCACCCCAGGATGAGCTCCCAAGGGTGAGCCAGGATAACACACCCCAAAAAAGAACCCCATCGTTTTGGGGGAGTGCAGAGCTGCTCCCAGACCCCCAGGCTGCCGGGGGGGTGGGTGGGATGTGTCCTGCCCTGTCCCCAAATCCCCCAAACCCGCTGTACCTGTGTGTTCTCACCTGTGCTGTTCCAGCAGCTGAGCCCCCACTGCTGCTCCAGGGGTTGGATCCTGCTCTGACTTCCCGAGACATTCGAGTGTGGATTTTCCAAGGGAAAGCAAATTGCTATTTTTGGTGGTTTTCTTCCCCAACACTCAAAACCTCACAAGTGTTGGAGCCTTTGCTTCTTCCAAGAAACACAAGTTGAAGTCTTGCTTAGCAAGGCTGAGTGGAACATGGATTTTATTGTTATATAGCCAGGAGATCCAGGTATTAATTCCACCTTGGAAGTGGAGAACAGGAATTTCTTGTATAACTTAGTCCTTGAGCATTAAAATAAAAGAGGCCCATTAAGTTTTAATGCTGGTTGTGCTGCAGGCTGACATTTAACAGGTTCAGAAGATGAATAAAACCCATTATTAAAGCAAACAAGTGTTCACGTGTCAGTGTTTTAACCCACACAGCCTCAGGTAACGTTGAAGATTAGCTGGAGTATCCAAGTGTGCTGTTTTCCAGTCCCACTGTGTATCCTTGGAAGTGGGTTTTGGGGTGGTCAGTGTTCCTGTTGCTGAGTAATCCTCCAAATTCAATATTTCTGTTTCACAGATGTTGGGGGGGGTAAAAAAGCCAACTAAACTTTGTTAGCAGATGTAGAACTGCTGATGTGGCAGAGGGACTTGTCTTCCTGCTTTTATTGGAAAACATCTGCTGAGGACCAGCCTGAGGATCCCAGCCCAGCATTTAGGAACAGGGAGGTGCTGTGGGGACAGGAGCTGATTTAGGGCTGTGATATCTTATGTGTAAACAGTAACTGGTAGAGAGGGGAGGAGGGCACAGCCTGCCCGTATCCAAAATCCAGGTGCTCTCTATGGGATACACTTTATTCCAGAGCTGGAGTCTGTTTTGTAGCTTCCCTTGGGGAAGGCAGAGTTCAAAAGCTGCAAAAGAAGGGAAGGAGAAGAGGAAATTTAAGACAATGTAATTGAGTTGCCTTCACCTTGCTGTTTGCTGCTTCAGCTGTGGCTTAGCCAGAGCCCAGCCTGCATTTCTGGAATTAACTCAACAACTTAATTCCTTTTTTAGTTTAACATTCTTAAGTTCTTTCACAGATTTGGAGGTAAATTCCTTGACAAAAAATGGTACCTGAGCAATCAGACTGTGTGTCTGTTCTTGGGACAGCCCTGAGCCTTCCTCCACAGCTTATTTTTAGTAGTGCTTAGCAAGTGATTAAAAACTCCTGCACAGTGTTTGACTGGAGACATTCCTGCAGTTGCTTCTGGAAATTTGGGAGCTCTCCTTGGTGGATCAGCTGCTGGGTGTTTGAGCAGCTAAACTGGAACGCTGGAGCGAGGGGATGGAATGCAATGTGATACCACAGAGTCCTAAAAGCTTAGCTGGGGCTCACTAATCGTAATTTAAGCTTGCAGTTCAATGGCTTAAAGCAATTATTACCTGAGGGAAGGATGGGGAAATGAAAATGTGGCTCCTGTAGGATTCTCTGTTCCAAATTGCAGTGTTTAATGTGTGCTCTTTATTTGCATATTCTCTTTTCCCACTCAGAGCTGCACTGACAGCCAGAGCTCTGTGTGTGTAATGAGTGTGTATGAAGTGACCAGAAAATTGGACTTTTCAGCCTGTTTTTTATTGTCTAAAATACACTAAAAGCTCCCTGTGATGCCTCTAGGAACTGCAAACTTTCAATCATGAAGAAACCAATCTTCAGTCTTGCTAAAAAATAGTTCTACTCGTGTGTTTACCCACCTGCATCACCCTGAGCAGCTTTGGAGAATTCATGGCTATTTTTTGAGGCTGTAACTTCTGTGTTATTTAAATGTTTCAAGGGCCCTGAAGATGCTTTTCCTTGGTAACATCCCAAAGATGCTTTTCCTTGGTAACATCCCAAAGATGCTTTTCCTTGGTAACATCCCAAAGATGCTTTTCCTTGGTAACATC